GAGCTTGGGGCTTCAGCCCCTGTGGCTCCTCTTGAGGCTCAGGGCACCTGAGCTCGGGGTTTCAGCCCCCGCAGCTTCTGCTGGGGCTCAGGGCTCCCACCCCGTGGCTCCTGCCAGGGCTGGGGCACCCATTTTTCAAATTGTCCGGGGCCCCTGGGCCCGTGCATTAATCCACCACTGGCTCTGACTAGCAACTAGGAGCCCCTGGTTGGGGCTGCTCCCAGCAACACTGGTGAGATCAGGCCTACCTCCACCTCCGGGAGCCTCCTCCAGCTGCAGGAAACTCTGCAGCTACTGCCTTCACAACTGGGCTCTGAAAGCAGCACAGAAGTAAATATGGAAATCTTGCAACCCCCGTACAATGGCTTTGGGGCTCCCGCATAATCCCCTTTGGATCAGGACCCCCATGGTTAAAACACTGAAATTTCAGATGTAAACATCCAAAAAACATGACCAATTTTAAGACCCTGTGGCCGTGAAATTGACCAAAGTGAACCATGAATTTGGTAGGGCCCTACTCATGGAGTTTAGCTTAATGACAGTCCAAACCAAAGGGTAATCAGGACTAGAAGAGGGGCTGTGGCTGGGGCAAGTAAGTGACTGTGTAAATAAGTTCCTTAAACAGAAGCTACATCTTTGAGAAGCTACCATTTGCAGCAATGTTCTGCATTACTTTGGTGTTGGTTAGTTTTCATTTAATTCTGGTGGAGGGATAGCTCAGTGGTTTGAGCATTCGCCTGCTAAACCCAGGGTTGTGAGTTCAATCCTCGAAGGGGCCACTTAGGGATCTGGGGCAAAATCAGTACTTGGTCCTGCTAGTGAAGGGGGCTGGACTCAATGACCTTTCAGGGTCCCTTCCAGCTCTATGAGATAGGATCTGAGTCTTTCTAGTGCCACAGGTAAGGTCTTAATATGCCATAAACCTGTACTTGAGGTATGGACAGCGGGTGGAGCCCCCCTCTGCGAAGGCTAGCCCCCAGCTCTGCCCCTTCTGCCCTCGCCATGGCCGGAGCCCCAAGACCCTCCTGTGGCCAGAGCCGCAAGACACACACCCCTCCCCAGACACAGGAGCCCCAAGCCTCCCTCCCCGGCCCAGAGGAGCTCCAGGCTGGCTGAATCCCCGGGCCCGGACAAGCCCCAGGCCAGCCACAGCCTGGTGCCCCCTCAGCAGAGGAGCCCCAGCTGTGCTGGCTGAAGCCCCAAGCGGACGAGCCAAGTCTTCTCTGCCCGAAGCCCCGAGCCGAGTATTCCCTGCCCAGAGGAGCCCTGGCCAAGCTGGCCAAAGCCCCGAGTCAAGCCTCCCCCTGCCAGGAGCCTGGGGCTGGCTGCAGCCATCCCTCCCCTCCCCAGACCTAACCTACCCACCACCCAGAGGAAAAAGCATCTGTAGAAGATGCAGGTTCTGGGGCTGCTGAGGAGGCGGTATGTGCCTCCTCAGCCATCCCGAAACCTGCATAGGACATAATAAAGCAAAAACTTCACCGCCAAACCCTGCAACCGGGGGTCCGGTGGCCACAGCAGCACCTCTCCTGGCCTATTATACCCACCACCCATGACTTGAGGTAAACCAGGACTGAGTTATCTTGCCATTAGGCAATGTGGAACCTCAGTCCATTTAAGTTTTCAAATCTGATCCAGTGAGACGATGATTAAGATGTTTCGTTTTCTGTCTTTCTATCCAGCGTCAACTATGTGAGTGAACTGTCAGAGGAAAGCAGTTACACAGCCTGGGGGACAGGGTGTGGTGGCAGATAGGGTCCCACTTCAGGCACAGGTATACTTGTCCTGTTGTACTGTCCTGGGCTCAGACTCATCTGATCCACAGTGGGAACAGAAGATTAATGGGAAGACACTCATGGCCTGGAGAGATTCTGAGACAGAAAACTGTTGTCAAACCCCGTGTAGTAAAACCCCATCAAATGATGAAAGAAAAGCCTGGAAGATACAAAAGAGAGAGGCAGAAATATTGGCATCACTAGCAATCAGCACGGCCTACCAACTTGGGTGTGTGTAACCTAGAACAAGACAAACAAGAACTATTCAGACTTAGTGTAAAAAAAATGTGGTGACATTTTCTTGAGTCTGCAGACTGGAAAGATGCTAACTGACCCATTCAGCATAATAAATTATGTCTGCAACCTAAATTATCTTTACGTGTCACTGTTAACTATTTACTTGTTTTAGTATAAACATCCAACTAATATTTTCCTCAGTCCTTTCCTGCCTCCCACAATTCCTCAAGTGCCAAACCCCTTCCGTCCATCTGTCAAAACCTCCAATTTAACAACTCAACCTAGCACTAGAACTTTATTCTCAAATCCCAATACCAAAAACAAGTAGAATGCACCAAATTCTCTCCTAACACACTTGAAACATGGGTGCATATCCAGAGCTTTATGTAGACTTCAACTGCATTTCTCACAAGAAAGGCTCTGCAGAGCCATTCATTTATTAGAGACACCACTGTAATACAATACGGAATTAAGTTTAAGTATTTTAGGAGTTCATTGTATTAAAAATGCAAATGTTTATGTACTAACAAAGGATTGTATGTAATTCCATGAGGGAGACCACAACCCTCCAGGAACTAAGAACAGCAGGGGACAGTTAAGCAAATTCACTCAGGATGTAACACCTCCTCAGAGCTCCGACCTGGAGAGGGGCTTGCATATATTGGTTCAAACTAGATTATCCAGGTATCAACAGACAAAGAAAGGACTTTTGGTTAAATAGCCTGAGTTAAAAAGGACTCTCGGCCTTCCTTCTGATCCAGAAAACATAGGACCTAGGGAGCCCCAATCCTTAGGGACAGTTGGAAGGTCTTTGGCCCACTGCAACCCCATAAGATTTAGGTGTTTGTTTGAACTGAAGCTGTGATCAACTTGTGTCCAAAGACCAACAGAAGTCTGTTGTCTTCTGTTAGTCTTAAAGGTGCCACAGGACCCTCTGTTGCTTTTTACAGATTCAGACTAACACGGCTACCCCTCTGATACTTGTGTCCAAAGGAAAAACAACGGGGGAACGGGGGGGGGGGGGGGGGGGGGGGGGGGGGGGCAGGGTTTCAAGGACTAATCACCACCCTGAGCCCTTCTTGGAGTGAGGGGGTGATGTCTGCTAAGCTTATTAGCATGTGTGTAGATTCTTTTACTGTTTTTAAAGTGTTTTCACTGTAATGCTTTTACCTTGAGAAAAGATGTGATTGTTCATAAAAGCAGTTTGGTAATCTAAAACTCTGGGCATGTATACTATGTACCAGCTCGGAGCAGAGAGGCAAAGCAGGTCTGCTTAGACACTCTCTTATCCTGGGGAATAACACAGCGAAGGCAGGGAACTGTTCAGCCTGGAAATAGCCCAGTCCAGAGGGGGAGAAACATGTCTCCACCTATGAAAAGGGACAGCTTAGGAGTCTGGAGCAGGTGCCCTTGCTGTATCACAGAGGGGAAATAAGGTGCAACTGCCCTGAACTGTGACAACCACCTCAAATCTTTCCAATAGGCCAACAACTAGTCTGCATTAAGGATCTATAGCAATAAACAGAGCACAGCCTTGTTTGAAGGCTGAGCCACCGGGGCGGGGGAAGGAGAAGAGACACAACCCTTTCCTGAACAGTTCCTTGGCACGGCACGGGTGGAAAAACATTCATGATTGTAGGACTTCAGAGTAACAGATGCAACACAAAGGATAAGCACTTCCCCTGCAAATGTAATCTAGAATGCTCAGTGGAAAAGGTTTTTTCCTGCTCTGTGTTCATTTGTGGCCATCAGTAAACCTCACAAAAACAAGCAGGTCAGGGTATTTTGACTGAATGGATTATGGACTTGTTTACAGACTGTTTCAAGCGCCTACAGGCTGCCTATTTATTCGCTAGAATTCAAGTCCTGTCAGACTTAAAGGGCAATTAAATAAATTACTGAATCTCTTCTTTATTACCCACTCACCCCCCCAAAAAAATTATTCCAGTTCCAAATAGACAAAAACTGTGCACATGTTCAATGAACATCCAATTAGGTCTACCCTAAAACTAAGGAAGTTGCAAAGCTGCACTGAAGTATAATGTTCTCTGTAAGTTGTAGTCACCACTAGAGGGCTTCCTTGCAACTCAATTTCCTAATGCTCACTTTATCTTAGGCTTAAAACAGATTTAGTGTTTCACAGAGAGCTCAATTACAGTCTGGAAGTTCAGACACTCACTTTCAGAAATAATTTTAGAAATTCCCCATAAATTTTCCATCAAATAAAAAGCTTTTCAAATAATTTTTCGTACTTCTACGAATTATTTGTATTGTGGTAGCACCCAGAGACCCCAATTAAGTATCAGGGCCTGACTATACTAGGCACTGTACAAAGAAGCAGTCCCTGTCCCAAAGAGCTTACATTCTACATGACATAAGGTGGTGGATGATGTAATATCTTTTACTGAACCAACTTCTCTTGGCAAAAGACAAACTTTTGAGCTTGACCAGAACTCCATTTCCCAGACCTGAAGAAGAACTCTATGTAAGCTCGAAAGCTTGTTTCTCTCACCAACAGACGTTGGTCCAATAAAAGATACTATCTCACCCACCTTGTGTCTCTAATATTTTGGGACCAACAGGGCTACAACACCACTAGATTTTAAGCGTAAAACGGGGATGGGAGAGATACAAAGAGATGAGGATACAAGCAGTGATCCTATTCAATCCCTGAAATTAAAAACAAACCAATAAAAAAAAAAAAAAAAACCACCTTTTTCTGCCTGTGTATACTAGAAAGTGATATGAGACAATTTATCAATCTCACTACCTCAAAGGATGGCCCATTACTCTAATTAAGGTGCTAATAGCATCCAACTTGAGCAGTAATTTTAGGATTATAGAGAAAGCTTTAGTTTGCCTCAGTTCCAGAAATGGGTCTTTGGCCTTAGATATTCTGAAAAGAAACATTGGTTTCCATTTTATTTCAACATTCTGATGTCATGCTAATCATTATCACACACCCCTCTTGTGCCTGAGCTCACTTACGTTTTCAACGTTCCAGATGTCATGAGTTCTGTCACAAGAACAATACATTTCTTTCCCTTCACTGTAGACTCCCAGGAATCATAGAATCGAACAATATTAGGATGCTGGAGCCCTTTCAGCATTTCAGCTTCTTCTTTAAATCTCTGCCGCTCTGACTTTGACAGCTTCCGATCCTAACAAAAAAGAGAAGAGATTATATATGAAAACCTATGCAAAGTAGTCCACTTTAACACATGGGAAGGGCAGCAAGCTGAAAAAGTGACAAGCTGCCGATTCTTGCACATTAGTAAGATTCTCCGATAAACGGAGACTCTGAAGTCCACTCAGATTCATTCTCTTACAACTGAAGAAGTGAGGTTTTTACCCACGAAAGCTTATGCCCAAATAAATCCGTTAGTCTTTAAGGTGCCACCAGACTCCTTGTTATTCTCTTACAAGCAATTCACTCCACCCAATTGTCATTCAATTGCATATTTCATGTTCGTTTTTTTTTAAATGCACTATATAAATGCAGATGCATTCTATTACTACAGCCTCTTACCGGATTTAGTAGTTTATGCCATACGATTGCTCTCTAGAGAGTCACTAGTCTTAGGGCTTGTGTACACTTACAGCACTGTGGCAGCGCAGCTGCACCAATGCAGTTGTAACACGTAGTGAAGACACTACCTATGCCGAAAGGAGAGCTTTTCCTGTCGGCACAGGTACTACTCCACCTCCTCAAGGGTCAGTAGCTATGTCAATGGGAGAAGCCCTCCTGTCAACATAGTGTTATCTACGCCAGTGGTTAGGTTGGTATCTTCCACAGCCGAGCAATGTAGTTATACCATCATAGGTTTGTAGTATAAACCAGGGCTCACATCCTCTGAGCCTATTATTCTCCCTACCCCCTGGCCAAAAATCAGATTCACAGCTACTAATGCTTAGAGGAAGGGGATACAGTGGTCCAGTACACTTAAGGATCCCCAAATATTAAGAAATATGCTTCAGAATTGCCTCTTTTGTATGCAGACTAAACATGTTAGGATTTCCCTGCTGCAAGCGGATCAATATCAAGAGTATAGGACTGAATTCTACATTTAGAGATTTAGGACTGGTCCACACCTAAAACCTAGGTCGAACTAGTTAACACTCCTGACTGACCGCTATCTCTTGGGTGAGAAAACGTAAGCCAACCTAAGCCCCATTACAGACACTGCTATGTTGATGGAATAATTCTTCCATCAGCTTAGCTGCCAGCTCTCAAGAGGATAGATTCACTACAGTACTTTGAAGTTGCAGCTCGGGCTCTGAAGCCTACAGAGGAAGGTTGGTCTTCAGAGTCCGAGCCGCAACTCCAAAGCGCTGTTTCTACAGCTACTTTTAGAGGACTAATCCAAGCCCTGCTAGCCTGAATCTGTCAACTTGGGCTGGGAGGCTCGCTCCAAAATGTTATATAGACATTCCCTAAATATGACTTCCCAATACTACTCAGATGCAGATGAAGACCTGTAGGATTGGTATAATTTACTTCGCTCAGGGGTGTGAACAAAGTAATTTGTAGTGTAGACATAGCCATAGTTATGGAGGAACTTAGGCTATTTTCCAGCGGGAACATTATAATTTAAAGACAAGTGCAAGAAGTGTAAAGATTTTCCAGATGAAAATGAAGAAAAAAAAAAATCAAACTCTTAAAAGGTCTTCAGAACTCTTAACTATAAGTTATACGTACAGCTCACCATTACCTACTTTGTAAAAACTAGTCAACCACAATGGCCTACTTTAAAACATGTGTAGCTCAAATATTGAATTACCAGTATATTTTATAATCCTGTTTAAGCATTATCCTAAAACAAAAGAATGAAGTGATATGACTGAAGGGTTATACGACAAGCTATTTGGCTTATAGGTAACTTAACATTCAATATTACTAATTCTTCCCATTTCAGGAATGAATGCATGCCAATTTTTGTTACTTTCCAAGTAAAAACAGAACATACACTTGCCAAAGACACACATGCAGTAAGCTTATATGTTTATACGTCTTGTGACACTACGTCTCAAGTGTAGATTTGATTTTGCAGTCTGACTGTGAGACTAAAGACCTTTCTGTCCCCTAGAAATAAGACAGACAGTAAAGGCTCCAGGTAAGGACCAGTTAAAGGTGAAATAGCACTTGTTTCTACAATATGAATGAATGACAGTAAAAGCAATGCACCATATTTTTAAACACACAATCTGCATATCTGTGTATCAGCAGAACTGCATCATATACACATGCTTCCTGGCAGAAGCCCTCAATATTTGGGCCAATACATAAAACCTCCAATATGAGACGCTCTACTCTCAATGTCGGGTGTATCATGTTCCTGGCCACTGCTACATGACCTGGACTCCAAATATATAAATATATATATATATAAATATATATATATAAATATATATATATAAATATAAATATATAAATATAAATATAAATAAGTATCTATGTACTTGTGTTGATACTACACAATAAATATTCACATACTGAAACAAGTTTAGCTTGCAGATTGTCCAAAAACCAAAAAGAAATATATAGACTGTATTTTAGACCAGCTTTTATTATTGAAAAAGTCTATCAAGCTTTTAAGTTTATAATAAACAATTATAGCCACAAACTTAGCAAAACCATTCAAGACTAAGTCAGGAAATAACCTTTTCTCTCTCTACTACTGTCTTGAGTTTCTCTGTTAAAATTGGCTTAAAGCATTCCGAATGCTAGAGTTTTCTAGGTGTATAGTATTCATGAGAATGCATTTTTAAAAAGAAACTTTATGCTACCTAAAGTGATGTACCACAAACTTTGCTAAAAATCAGTTTTAGACCATAACTCCGTTACATTAAGCTCGCACATTGTAACTACCCAACATCTAATCTCAAACTCAGATGATTTAACTTCCTCACATCATTGCAATACTACCAAAGCTCAAAACGGAATTTAACTAGTGTTGCTTCTGGCCACATACATACCCATAATGGGCATGCATATGTTGAGCCATTTTGTCCTCACTGGTCACATCAATGCTGATGTCATGTCCCTACAGATGTAACTGTTGTGCTTAAGACAGACACTCAACACTGAGCACTGGCAGAAAGTTATGGCAAAAGTAGTGAAGTGAGTAATTCAACATCTGCTTTAGAAGTCACGCTGCCCTAATAGTTTGGGACAAGTTTGCACATTTAATGCATGCCAGCAAGTTTCAAGCTGGGGTAAGTAGCTGTATTTTCACAAGTGGAAAAAAAAAAAAAAAGGCTTAAGTTTTGCTGCTGCAGTACTCTAATGTAATATTAATTTCGAAGACCTATGGGGGAAGGGCAGAGGGAGGAGACACCATTTGTCCATTGAACCACCAGTAAGTACCAACTTTACCTTACTACTATCCTAGGGCAGGTCTACACTTAAAATGCTGCAGTGGCACAGCTATTAACACTTCAGTAAAGACCCTACTACACCGACGCAAACTAATTCACCTCCGTGAGAGACAGTAGCTATATCAACAGGAAAAGCCCTCCTGCCGAGATAGTGCTGTCTACACTGAAGGCTAGGTCTGTATAACTGCATCACTCAAGGGTGTGGATGTAACTCTGTAGCGTAGACCTGACCTTAGTGTTTCCCTTCCACTCTCCATAATCACACCCATAACTGCTACAAGCCTTAAGATTCCCTCAATGTTAAGACATATCCATGCAGGCTTATAGAAGAAGCGTTGATATTTAGAGGTTAATTTTTCAAGAACACATGTACAATTATATGCTTACTTTGTGCATATGCAAATATTATCAAACCATGTATTTGCACACACAATAGAGGACTAGTTATGGACCAAACTGGTCATTCGCACATGCAAACTGCATTTAGTTGTGCATAACTTCATATTTTAAAAAATTAGTCCCCCAATACTGTAACAACTGGCACCAGTTTAATATTAGCCTAAAACCTATTAGTTCTATAGTAAGACTTCTTTGTGTGTGAAGATGGGCAATAGCAACTCCCATCGCATATTCACCTTTTGGCGCTCTGCTGCTCAAACCGAGCTGTCTGAGGGCTTGTCTACATTTACAGCGGCGCAGCTGCACCAGTGCAGCTGTGCCGCTGTAGTGCGTAGTGAAGACACTACCTACACCAATGGGAGAGCTTCTAACATCAGTATAGGTACTTCACCTCCCCAGCAGGTTGCAACTATGTCAATAGGAGAAGCCCTCCATTGACATATCACTGTCTACACATCAGTGCTTAGGTTGATATAACTACGTTGTTCAGGGGCATGGATTTTCCACACTTGAGTGAGGCAGTTAGACATTTGTTTGTAGTGTAGACCGGGGCTGAGTATGTGAAAACCTGACAGCCTCTATCTTAAGGTCCCTAGTCTTCCTTATACAAACATATCACTTCACAGGAAAAGCAACAGTCTTAATAGCCACTGCTGCTGAACAACTGGACACCTTTATTGAATCCATGAAATAATCCACCTACCCCACCCCCAATGTGGCCAACCCTGTTAGAGAGGTACAATTAGGAATGAAAGCTATGAAGAAAAGTGGCAAGATGAAAGAATTACAAACAGAAGTCACTAATATTGACATACAAGAAATTTCTGTAAGACAGTGATTCTCAACCTTTTCTATATCAGGACTCTTCCCCCTGCCAGTTAGCCAAGATGGAGCTAGAATGCCCTCCCTTTTAACAATATGGGAAGGGCGGGATTGTTACCATCTCCAGGTTGAGAACCTGTGCTGCAGAAGAATCATTACCCCAATTTTACCTATCTAAAATGCATCTACCAAAAATGGAAAATTTCAGGTTCCACATATCTGATGACTATCAAGGCATGTTACAAAGCTCATCTTTTATCTCCCAAAATTTGAAATGGGAGGAATTGTAATTAAGAGTGGGAAACTGAGGGAGAAGAAGGGATTGTTTGTGGCAGGTTGTTTAAGAAATTCCTGCACTTGGTTAAGTGATTTCAAGGGTACCTGAATTATATGGACAGGAGCCCTATTTAGCATTTTTGTAAATCTAAAGTGATCGTTTCAGCACATACCTACTGCTCTGAGTCACTAGCAATTCCAGGTATTCCAACTAGATGTTTAAAAGCCAGCAGGTTAACATTAACAAACTGCAAGTAGGGTAAGTAAAGGAACAAGTCAAGCACCC